GGTGTAGAATTTGTACCATTCGACATGCGATCCTCAGTTGAGGTGTGTTGCGCGTTTTCACTTTTCGGCCTAGTTAGGAGTAGCTGTCGATTTTAAAGGCCAGACCATCTGCTGGTAAGTGGACATCGGCTTTATCTTTATCATTTTTCCAGGCTCATTTCTTACCTGACTTTATTTACCTGATTTCGGCAGCATCTCATACAACTGCGTACATCGAAAGCACGCCTTTCAGGAAGTGTAATTGACTGAACTTTTTGTCACTGTCTTTCGAGGTGTCGTTTACACTTGATTTACAGGACCCCATTTTGAAAGAAGCCGCGAAAATGTTAGCCCTAATTTTCGGTGTCGGCAGACTGCAATAGTGAGCACTACTCTGTCGGCCCGTTTTTCTAGGAACTCGGGCGTAGCTGCTGTTTGCATCATTGCTCTGCTCGGCATGAGATCTGTATCACAGCTCTCCGTTTGACGCCATCATCAAATGCCTTTTCATATTCGACGAAAAATACGAGAGAATGGAAGTTTTTAGATTGGATTCCACCTTCTGGTTCAGAGCAAGGATATTGTTTATTTCGTTCTGGTAGCCTTTCCTCGCATTCCTAAACACACTACTGGTTTTCAATCCACTGTTGCCGTGTCGTAACGTATTTGCAGCAATGCCAGATTTGACTAAGGCTATCACGCGTCAAATTTTTTTAATTTTTTAAAAGAAAAATTGAATGTGCTATTTCTTTGTCTATTCTGAGCAGTAAAAAAGAACGCTTTGTCGGCTTGCTGGGCGGTTACTGTAGCAGGCGAACTAGCTGTGATCCATCATACGCTTATTATGGTTTGTGACGAATTAATGTGCTTGTTATACACAATCAGGCTTCGAGGGACACTCAGTTCGTTTGCTGTTTAATGATCATCTGTAAGAATGCTGTGCACAGCTGTGTGTATGAGGTGGTCCTCTCCGGGAGCACTTGCCCCTTGCACTTTTCTGATTCGGCAGAAGCAACCCATCGACATATTAGCTGTTGACGTTTTTTACTGTACCACTGTTGCGGTGTCCATGTAGATGAAGGGCGCACAAAGTGATATTGTGGCTACAAGAAAAAGTGAGATTTACAGCGAGCATCGTTCACTTTGGTAATAACCAGTGGAACGCGTCACGTAGTAGTGAGTGGTACCGGCCATCACAGAATTCGATCAATCGGTTGACTTCGAGAGAGATGCTCTATGCGTACATCGAATGTGGC